CGTTATTGTTTCGTATTTGTTTCGTTAATGTTTCGTAATTTTTTTACATTTACGAAATTTCGTAAATATCGAACTTTTTAAAAGAAAAATTTCGGAATTCTTTTAAATATCGAAACGCAAAAAACCCCAAAAAACGAATCGATTTTAGAAACAAATTTTTCCGTTGTTACCCAGGCCTAAAAGTTAACAGTGTCTTTTTAATTACAAAAATGATGTACAGGCACTGAAAGAGTTAAAATGATGCAGTTACTAAGCAAAACCAGTAAGGTAATATAAACAGGTGTGACTGTCAGTTCCTTACTCCTCCTGTGTGAAGACCTCCTCATGTGGAAAGAATTCCTTGGTGTAAGGAGTGCTGTGTTTGACTACTCTAAGGAGAGAGCTGCTTCAGTTTGAAGTTTGTTGTATGTTCCTTACTACATGCGAGAGAAGCCCAGCATGAAGGCAAGAAGCTGAAGCAAAGATATAACAAGGAGGTATAAATAATTTTGTTTATGTTATGGAAACCTTGTTCTTGTAACCATATTATTTTTCTACAAGAAAGGCCTCAGAAGGAAAATAACAATAGTCTCTGTGTGTTTTTATTTCGTCTTATACTGGTTACTGGTTCTGGGTCATTCCGCTGCTGCTAAATAAGCTACTCTGCTGTATACTTTTATGGCGAGAGTCTTTTGTTATTAACAATAGTCACTGCTGTTTCACAGTTTGGAACGGTATTTATTTATTAATATTTATTTCAAATATTTGTACCCCGCCTTTCTCTACCCCCGAAGGGGGACTCAGGGCAGTTTACAGCCCGCAACAATTTGATGCCCTCCATATATAAACAACAGTTACATAATAAGTACAACACTAAAATTAGATTAAAACCATTTAAAATAGTGCAAATTGAATTAGTTGGCCATGTCTAAGTCCAAGTTCTACAATCAACAACTTAATCCGAAGCTGTCCATAGTCCATTTTCCATAGCATAGTTGTCATTTTATTGTCAGCCTGCTATCTGAATGCCTATTGAAATGCCTGGTCTCATAGCCATGTCTTCAACTTTTTCCTGACAGAAAGAAGAGAAACCATTGACCTAAATTTGCTGGGAAGCAAGTTCCACATGTGGGGGCCACCACCAAGAAGGCCCTGTCTCTCGGCCCCACCAAGTGCGTTTGTGACGAAGGTGGGATCAAGAGCAGGGCCTCCCTGGAAGATCGTAAGTTTTGAGAAGGGATGTAGGTGTTGGGGTTCAGCCTGAGTTTGAACTTGAACCTGATTCTCTGTTTGTTCCTCCTGATGCTAATGAAAATATATTTACTGATGCTAATGAAAATGTACTTCCTGATGCTAATGAAAATGTACCTCTTGATACCAATGCTCCTGAAATTAGTGAGGAAGAAACTTCTGTAGATTTGGAAAATGCCAATGCTCCTGAAATTAGTGAGGAAGAAACTTCTGTAGATTTGGAAAATGAAAGTATCAGTGTTCATGAGAATGTTTCAGAGGGAAGCCATGACCTTTCACTCCCTTCTGCACCTGGTAACTCTAATGAGAACAGAAGGGGCCAGATCTGGCAAGACAGAAGTAAATCACTCAGCTTGCGAAGGTCTTCCCGATTAAGAGAAATACAAACAATGGCTTCAAAGCAGAGGGGCAGTTCACGGAACCAATTCTTCGGCTTTAAGTGCCTTCCACCGGGCTGACTTTCTCAGTTCAGGCATCGTTTCAGATTGATGAAGACCTTGACAGTTCTCCCGGGATTTCTAGGATATCAAATACGGTTAGTGGATTGCTAACAGGTTCCAGTATTTTACAGTGTGGCTTTGGCTTTTGTTTTGTCCATTTGAATTCATGTTTGCTGATTTTGCTGTGGCTTTTGACTTGCATTTTTCCTTTATTTTGTAACCATTTTTCTTCAATAAAAAAGGATTGTTTTTCACAGTCAAGTGTGGTGGATAGTTATCTTAGGGCCTTGTTTCCTGCTCTGGATTGCAACAGTAGGGGGAGATACGTTCAGACAAGTAAGCTGGGCCAGAACTGTATAGGGCTTTATAGGTCAAGACCAGCACATTGAATTGTTTTCCAAATACTGTTCAATTGTTTAGTAATAGGTATTGCAAATATACAATGTATATACATCTTTCAAATATACAGTGAGTATACATATGTGTATGCTTGTGCATGCGCCTGTGTAATTTTTAAAACAACATGCATTTGACATGTCAGTATTATGGAGAAGATACAAGCTGCAATGTGGCAGAGTTGCCTATGACAGCTCTGCTTCCCAAAAACTGTAAATTATTGCTGGTTTGATTTTATTCTTTCTAATTAGGGAGGAGAAGGAAGAGAGAAAGCCTCCGCTGTCTAGTAGTAAAGATGAGTGTCAGTGATTGAGGTGGCAGAATTGGAAGTGAGGCAACAAATTCGCAAATTAAAGAGCAACAAGTCACCAGAACCAGATGGCGTGCATCGGAGACTTCCTCTGTAGGAACCTAAGAATGAAGCAGCTAAATGCTAGTGAAAATATGCAGCCTTTCATTCAAATCAGCTGACATGCCAGGAGACAAAAGTAAAGATGTAACCTCTCTATTTAGGGAAAGCTTAAGGGAGGGTGACAGAATGATAATCAAATAAGTTCTTTGATGTAGGTTTGATGGAGTAAGAGCCACCCAGGCATCAGCAGCTGGAATTCTGGAATACTTTCACATTAGGGACACAAAGCAGAGGGAGTCAAATCATTTGGTTGTTCATTGGACTAGGACTCCGGAAACCAGGGTTCTATTCCCTGAGAGCAAAAGAAACCAGCCATAAGCAAGTTATACCCAAATGCAAGGACAAACCTCTGAATAAATCTTGCCATTAAAACCCCATTGTGGCCTTAAGGGCATGATGTTGTAAAGGACTTGAGAGCACACAAAACAACAAGATGTATAAATTAAAGCCCAGTTGTATACTGCAATATCCAGCATCCCCCTCATCCAAGTGTGGTTTTAGGAGATCCAAGTGTGGTTTTAGGAGAAAAGTAACCCTTTTTTCATTTCCCTTTCCTTTGACTCTTTCAGTATTCTTTCCATCCCTGCTGCACTATAACGTTAGCTGTATAGCATCCTCAAAAAGCCCTGGGAGGTAGTGAGTGTGTTATTTTACAGGAGGTCAAAATGCAAAGTTATAGAAAAATCACAATAATTTTAGTAGGAAAATAATGCATTTCAGGTTGAGTATCCCTAATACAGAATTCAGAAAGATGTAACATTTCAAAATCTAAACCCTCCACATGGGTGGCTAAGTTGGGGGAATGCTAGACATTTGGGGGGAAATGTGATTTTTCCATAACTTTGTATTTTGATCTCCTGTAAAATAATACACTCACTACCTCCCAGGGCTTTTTGAGGTAAGGATGTTATAAAGCTAAGGCACGGAACAAAAAAAAAACCTTTGGGTGAGCCCACTAGAAGCAGTTACAAAGCCAACCCTAAGGGTAGAAACAAGAACATATAAAGTATACCTTATCAGAGAACATAAAAAGTGAAAATTAAAAGGGCAAGAAGAATTGGGAATTGATTATTGGTTTCACTGTCATCAACTGTATGAAAGATATAAAAAGAGACTTGAGGGTGGAATTCACATCCAAACAATCAGAATTGGAAAGAATATGGGAAAAGAGAAACAAAGGGTTAATCTCCAGATTATACAAATACATACTAAGCTCTAACATGGAGGATAACTGAGTCAAGATAGTAATGATACCATGGGCCAAGGACCTAGGCAGACAAATAGAACTGGATAATTGGGAATACTTATGGAACAAAGGATTCAGATTTATGTTATCTGAATCAGTTAGGGATAATCTATATAAAATATTTTATAGATGCTACTATCACCCCAGCAACAATGGCAAAAATAGATGAATCACAATAAGGAATTTGCTGAGAGTGTAGGAAACTGAAAGGGGCATTCATCCATGTGTGGTAGACCTGTGAGACCATACAAGCATTTTGGGATTATATAAATAAGGAGACAAATAAAATGCTACATAATAAGATTTAAAAAGCCCAGGATTGTGTCTAATAGGTTTACATTGAGAAAAATATAATAAAAAAGATAAAGAAATATACCAATATAGTTTTGCCGCAGCAAGATTAACCATAGCCAAAGACTGGAAAGGGGGGAAATGTTTAACTAAAAAGGATTGGAGGGAAAGAATGCAAGAATATATGCTAATGGCCAAACTAACTAATAATAGGAGGAACAAAAATAATGAGGACTTTTTGGAAAAGTGGAAGTTGGCCATGGCATATCTGAGTCAGTGACACAGAGGAGTACCATTAGGAAATTAGGATTACTATGAGCAAGGATAGATAAATTGGCTTAAAGGATTCATAGTGTTTCAGTGTGGAAGTCATAGTGATGGGTACACGGGTGTGGGGAAGAGATTTTATTTTGTGTGGGATAGGGGTTTTGTGTGTGTGTGTGTGGTCTGTAATATGCCATGTTGCTGTTTAAATGTTATGGTGACCTCTTATATTAATAAAAATTAACTCACAAAAAAGCAAACAGAATTCATGAAGACTATAATTGGGACATAATTACGGCTAGTCACTATATTATTTTGTAGGCCCAAGGAGTGAATATGGATGTCTTTTAACAAAGTGGAGGGGATTGACTGAAATGTATCTTGGACCTTTATTCAGTGATTATATATTTTAATTAATTCTAAAAAAAGAAAATGACTTTCCTAGATGCTTTTATCTGGCCTTTTGTAAAGGATATTCAGATTAAATTTTTAAACACTTGCAAGAGGGAAGAGTTATCAGACTAGCTTGTCCCTTTGACATGGATACTGATAGTGGAATTTATGCAATTAAAAGAGTGAAGGTCAAAATAAATTTTAAGGAAGTGTATTTCTTCATGAGCTCTTATTTTATGCCTCCTTTTTCAGAAGCCTTCAGAAAATTTCATATTAGAAGCCACCATAAACAATGGATATAACATGTATTTTTGACACATACTACCAGAAGAATTTTACTTGTATCATGGAAGTCCTAAAATTGTTAGTAGCAGAAGTGAAGAAAAGCCAATACACAACAAAGAAAACCAACAAGTATCAAGGGGGTATGTTGGGAGTGCCAATGACAGGGGACATGAGGACAGTGGCTATTCCTTCTTGTGGGACTATCAGCTTGAACTGACTGAACATGAAGGTCTACGACCATACCACCCTAAACACGCCCAATCTTGTATGACTGAACATGAAGATAGTACACTGTTGGGAGGAAATATCAATGTTACACCATACCACGGTTTCAGTCAAAGAAAGAATTTGCTTCCAGTTCTCTGTTTTGAGGAACTCGTCTGCTCAACTTTGAAAAATCTTGCTAAAGTAAGCACAACCTGGAAGAAATTTCTACAGGTTGATAACTGGGCTTTAGAAATGTACAACAAAGCACTAACACTCACCTCAAGTAACAATGCTGCATCCTCCAAATTTATGGATACAAGACAATAGTCTATATGTATTGTTGATTCATTGTTGATGTATGATGTTTTAGATTTTTACTGTTGCCATTGAATTCTTGCTGTTAGCCGGTCTGAGTCCCTATATGGACGTAGAGAAGATCACAATATAAAAGTTTTAAATAAATAAATAAATAAATAAATAAACATGCTCTTCACTGAGAAGAATTTAGTCATGTTCAGAAACTAGGAAGTACACCAAAGTACACCACAGCCAGAGTAACTCCAGCTCCAGCTCTTTCAGTTGCTACACACCATTTTCTGACTTTGTGATGCCACTGAAAAATATGGAAAGCCTGAAAACCTGTTATCTTTGTGGCTCATCTGCCAAGTATCAGACCCATCTCCAAAGAGCCACATGCATCTGTGGGGGTTGAAGCATTGACGTCTGCACAAAATGCTTATGCTCCTACCATAGTGCCAAGGACTACACAAGCAGGAAGACTGTGAAACCATCATCCAAAATTGAAGCACTTACAGCTAGTCACTATATTATTTTGTAGGCCCAAGGAGTAAATATGAATGTGCTTGTTTATTTTAACGAACTTGGGGGGAGGGGGGACAACTCAAATGTATGTTGGAGCTTTATTCAATGGTTATATATTTTTAATTTTAAAAAAAAGAAAATGACTTTCCTAGATGCTTTGATCTGCCCTTCAAATGTTTAAACACTTGCAGGAGGGAAGAGTTATCAGACCAGCTTGTCCCTTTGACATGGAGACTATTGGTGGATTTTATGAAATTAAAAGAGAGAAGGTGCTTATAGTTCCAAAACGGTCTCCTGGCATGGTAAACTTGGGTATTTAAACACATAGAAGTTCAGTGCATACATACAAACATAAGATTGTTACATTCACATTGAAAAGAAATAACTTGTTCTTTTCTCAAAAGATGAATAGACTCTGCTTCATGTGTATAGTAATAGTTCTATGTCTTTACTACAGATGAAGAGACTCCAAATCCTTGAAATGTTCTGGTTTCATTATGACAAATGAGTAGACTTCAACACATAAAAGTTTGATGCATACATACAAACAAAATATTGTTACATTTACATTGAAAAGAAATAACTTTACGAAGACGCCATCCAACTCTGTTACTCCTTTCCACTTGCTACTGTTCAGTTCTTGAACCGGTGCTTGGCAGCTGTGGTGGCCTGGATCAGGGTCAACAAATTGAAACTGAATCCAGACAAGACAGAGGTATTCTTGATCAGCTGAAAGGCCGAACAGGGTATAGGGTTACAGCCTGTGCTGGATGGAGTTTCACTCCCCATGAAGTTACAGGTTCGCAGCTTGGGGGTTCTCCTGGATTCATCACTGAGTCTGGAACCCCAGGTCTCAGCGGTGGCCAGGGGAGCCTTTGCACAATTAAAACTTGTGAATGTACGTTGAGAAGCCAGACTTGGTTATGGTGGTCCATGTCCTTGTTACATCTCAAATAGACTACTGCAATGCACTCTACATGGAGTTGCCTTTAAAGACTGTTTGGAAGCTTCGAGTAGTCCAACAGGCAGCAACCAGGTTTCTCACTGAAGCAGCGTACAGGAAGCATACAACCCCCCCCCCCCCCCAGCTACATCAGCTCCACTGAGGCTGCCAGTCTGCTACCAAGCACAATTAAAAGTGCTGGCTTTAGCATYTAAAGCTCTAAATGTTTCCAGTCCAGCTTATCTGTCTGAATGTATCTCCCTTTATGAACCAATTCGGGTGTTAAGATTGGCTGGGGAGGTCCTGCTCTCGGTCCCATTGCCTTTGCAGGTGAGATTGGCAGGGACGAGAGACAAGGCCTTCTTGGTGGTGGCCCTTCTGCTGTGGAGCTCCCTTTCCAGTGAGATTAGATCAGCCCCCTCCCTCCTGGTGTTCAGTAATAAACTTAAAATTTGGTTATACACGCAGGCATTTGATGAGTGATAGTATTTGTAGTATAATACCTACTACGATATAGACATAAATGAAGCAGCTAAATGACAACTGGAATGATGCAATGTTAAAATGCTATATGCTTTATGTGACGATGTTGTTATGTACTGTGTGTTAATGGATTAATTCATAATTTTTACATTATTGAATTTAGCTAATGGTATGTATTGTTTCATTACATATATTGGTGGCATTGAATTTTGCTCTGAGTCCCCCTCGGGGTGAGAGAGAGTTATACAGAAATGCAGTAAATAAAAAAATAAATAGCAGCAGTAGAGAACACCTCATGTGCCATTTTAAAATTTCTACAAAGACCATAACACAGCACCACTTCAAGGTATTTTAGAAAATTAATACTGCAGTGCATAACCATCTGCTGCCTGATGTCCATGCTGGCGGATCCTGCCAGAAAGTGGTGTTTTTGCAGCCGCTTCCAGATGCTGCAGTCAGTCCTGGCTAGAGAGAGCATACCTGAAGCTCTGTCCAATTGACTAGCTTGATAAAACATGTTTCTGGCTAATGAGGCAAGACTTCTACATATTACTCCCTGTTTGTTGCCGTCTCTGTCAGTCATCTCAGGGCTCATGTGCCATGGGAAATTTTTTTGAGTTCATGTACCATGGGAATTTCACCTAACTCAGTGGTCAACACAATTAGTGTTAAAAGGCACCTGTTTTATAAGTCTACCAATTAAGCTAATACTGCTCCATGAAGTTGCTTCTCTCCCCAACCCACCACTTAGCAAAGTGAGATGTCCACCTCAAGCAATGAAGCAGCAGGGCCAGTGAATTACACGATATCCCTGACTCCAACCATTCTATATCTTCATTGAGCCTTGGTTCTAGAGTCAGCCAAATCTCAGGTGCCTTGTTCTGAGAGATCCCCAAAATCAGGCATTGTGGATGGGATATCCTGACAGATTGTCTGTGAGATGGCAGCATAATCAGTCATTTTGGACACTCAAACTGCAATGTCTGACCAATTCTTCAGAAAAAAGCATTGGTTCATTTGTCATGTCACCACTATCTCCACAGATTCTGCCTGGCTGTGCCTCACTCTTATAGTTGTGAAGGCCACCATGATGGAAGCAGAGCTTACAGTGGAGTTGGAAATATTTTTGAGAGCAATATCTGAAGGATGTGATTAATAAGATTTTTTTCCATATTTTGAGGAGTTGTATTAAATTTTGTGAACACAAGTTTTTCTTGGCTTCGATTTAATTAAAATAGAAGTGGCAAGTCTGTACCTTTGGACTTCTTCTTTCTCCCATTCCTAGCAAGTTAGGGGAGTGACATTCAGATAGTGAGCAGCTGCAGCAACAGAGGGAGGAAGTTTGCTTTTCTTCCAGCCATTTGATTAATACTTCAGGGCTGCCTCCATGGACTCAGCACTCACAGCAAGTCCATTAACTTTTTTCTTGTTGCAACATCTCCCTCCACCAGCGCCACTCTTCATGTTTTGCTTAAGTCTTTTCAAGTCACTCAGTGTTGCTCAAGGCTCTGAATCTAAATGTTTTGACTGTTTTTTCCTTGATAAGTCTCAAGGATGTTTAAAAAATAAAAAAGGCAGCACCAAGAAGGGAATAAAACTCTTTCAAAGTGTTCTTTTACTTTTTGTCTTTGCTCACCGACAAGTCTTTTGCTCTCCAGCCCCATACTTTAAAGTGTAATTTCTTTTCCTCCGCCTCAGATAATTAGTTTTCCTGCATTTCTCACTTATTCCCTGACTTCTTTGTGTCAAATCATATTATAATACATTAAATATCCAAGAAATACAAAGCACTCAGAAAAGCTCTTTGGAGGTTTCATACCTGTGTTCTCTCACTCGCTTTCATTAAAAACTGACAGAGAAACATGAGGTGTTGACATGCCAATAAAGTAATATCAACCTCAACCATTCTCACCACTGCTGTGCATGTTTTAATACACACACACACACACCTATAAGATATACATAAAATAGGAAAGGGAACATTTGTATCAACTTGGGCCAATGAATCATAATATCCCATATCCAAAAATGGCACCTTTACAATCTCAGCATTATTCATCAAGAGCAGAACTAACTTTGAAGAATCAATTAAAAGAAATGAATAAGAGAGCGAGAAAGGAGTTTTCAGCCTTCAAATAGAGAGGACAACAGTAGAGGAAGCTGCTCCAAATTCTCTAATGCAGCAGTATGTAATTTGTTCACCTATCACAGCCACATCAAAAATATATTGCTACTGGATTATTTTCTCATTGCTGCAAAGGAATCTGGATTTGGTCAAAAGAATTAAACAAGAGCTATAAGGAATGCTCACGGCAGAAACAAGTCTAGGTTTACTCCAATTTAAGTATGTGTGGAAGGAAAGGGAAACTCTTCCTGGGTTATCAATTTCTTCTGAGAAGCATCATGAATAGCTGAAGATAGCAACATGCCAGTTTGTCATCACCATCATGAGCTGTGCATCTCCATGATCTCTTCACAAACAGAAGAAGCCACAGTGAAGGCTTAAGTAGCACCAAGCTCACTGTGGGTTGCTAATTAACAGAGCCCATTACAAGCAGAAAGAAAATAGAAATAGAAAATACAAGCAGAAGAAGAGCAAGTTTTTTTTTCCAGTAACACAGAAGGTCCATTAGCCAAGAGATGTTTGCCAGTGCTTTAGGAGAAATATCAGGTGCCACAGGAGAAGAGTCTCTTTGCCCGTGTCTGTGCAAAGAACAGTTAGGGTTGCCGCTGGAATGGGAAAGAGTGAGTGAGAGGTAAACTCCAGGGTCAGGGCATTGGTCACAATCCACTCTGGATTTTATACAAGCATCCAAAGATGCTGAATCTCTCTAGGGCAGTGGTTCCCAACCAGTGGTCCTTGGACCACCAGTGACCTGCAAGAACGAAAGTATGGTCCTCAGCCTCACTATTACTACATCGTTGCCTCAAAACCACACAGCAATGGGAGTTACTGGTCTCATGAAACCCTCTTATTGTGCCCAAGCAGTGTGATGTCAGGAGGGGAGAGGCAGACTACCCTCAAAAGAGTACTACTACCACATCAGCTCTCGATTATTAAATATGGTTTTCTGTGGGTGAGCAGATGGCAACTTTTGGATGGCATGTGTTCTGTATCAGAAACTAGAGCTGATGTGGTCTAGCTAATGCAATTTTCTGAATCAGCACTTCAAATAACCAAACCGAATCTAAAGTTGACCAAAAACTGATTCGTAACCCTTTTGGTACTAATGTTGGAGAGTTGTCCCTGGTCAAAGTGGTCCCTGGTCAAGTGGTCCCTGGTCAAAAAAAGATTGGGAACCACTGATTTAGGGAATAATATTAAGCACCTTGGACAATTCCTCTGAAGTCTGATGAAAAATACAGATTAATTTCACCATACCTTTCACAACGAAGCAACCTACTGCCCAAGTGCCCAGGATTCACACCTCCGATTAAGACAATGCTATAGAGAGAAGTAACCA